TATGATACTACATTATCTGAAGGAACCTTTAATCTATTCATTCTCTACAAGAGCTTTTTTTCTATAGAATATTTGAAGGTGTAAGAGGAAAATGGTGGAGTTCTGCCTTGTTCAATGCACAATTTTAATAACTGCTTCACTGAGGCCATTTTTCCACTTGTTGGAGGATTGACTGTCTGGCAATCAGTTCTCCAATGTTCAATTTAGCAGGTCTAGTAACAACCTGCTAAACTGAATGGTAAGAGTGCCCCCATTGGTGCCGATATTCTTTGCTGATGCAGGGAGTAAGCAAAGTTGATGGGAACATTTCTCCCATTGATCTCCCATTGTGAGATCACCCCAGAAAACCAGTGCAAGGCATGTATGTCAATTCCATCTATGCAATTAATGTAACTGGTGTTAAGTATCTTGCATTGATTTTCTCTGCCAGTGTAGATCTGGCCTGAACCAGGCACATGCTTAATGATTATGATTCCCTGGTGGCACTTATTTCAGAGAACATGAATCTTTGGCCCTGGAGAGGGACAGAACTTTCTGGTGCTTTCTAGTAAATAATTTCAGGGTCTAGCATTTTTTGTTTGTCATTTAAATATTATATATTTAAATAAATAATATTAATTAAATATTGACTTTAAAATGTTAGCATCATTCAGATTGAGACAAACCTCTAGTGATCATGCCACTGAAATGGTGGCCACAACTGGTGGTGGCACCAGCAGATCATGTTTATGTGTCTCTTTGTGCTCCATCCAGGGCTTCTATGGATCTGGAGCAGTGTGGCGGGGTCTTAGCCGCAATGGGCCCTGAGGCCTAGTCCAGCAATCGCAGCAGGCCCTGAGGCCTAGACCAGCCTCCGCAACAGGCCCAGAGGCCTAGTCCACAGTCACAGCAGGCCCTGAGGCCTAGTCCACGCCCTGAGGGGTTGGGGTAGGGGGGTCTGGGCCCTCCCTCTCCACCGGACCCCAACCCAGGGCCCTAATGGTGGTGGGTGGTTCCCACCACTGGGGGGGTCCTCCCCGAAATGCGCTGAGCCCACTGGGGGCGTTTCCCTGCCCCTTGCCCTAGGTTGCTTCCTACCCCAGCCTTGTGGCTGACGGAGGTCCCACCTGGCGATGCTGGGCTGGCGGCGGCGGCAATGTCAGCTGGTCCCATCTCTGGGGCAGCAGCGCAGGGGGTGTCCACTGTAGTGGGGCGGGTGGCCCCCCGGAGTCGGCGTTGAGGGCCTGCTCACCCCGGGGATGGTAGCAGCAATAGCGGCGGTCTCTCCGGCTCTGAATCTGGTGGCAGGTCCGGCGGCGGGCCTGCAGCTTGAGCCGGAGCTCCTTTCTCCCTGGCAGTCTGCCCCAACTGAGCAGCCTGGCAGCCTTTTATAGTGAGGCTGCACTTCGAGCATGCCCAGTAGGGCTGTGGGGGAGGGGCATGCTCTACCCAATAAAAGGGCTCCTCTCCCTCCTGCTCAGTGTGGGGGCAGGTTAGCCCTGTCACAAGCAACCAGATCAATGTACAACATCCCATCCAGTCTGGCCTGGTTTGCAGAGGTAATGCTGCATTAGGAACAGTTTCAAATGGGAATCTACCTTATGCCCATGGCTGTGTTTCTTATCATCATGGATTGGCATATAGTGGTATCAATGGAACAAGCATCCAGGAGGAAGAAGGAGGCGTGGTTACTAGTAATGACAGAATGCTATTTCGGTGGTTCCAATGATCCCTGATCTGAGTGTATAGCCCCTTTTCCATTAGGAACTTATGGAGATAAAGTTTGGGGAGTGAATGATCAGCATATGGTTCGGTGGGCAATGACATGGGCTTCATTGAGGCTGTGCAGGCATTATTGGCACTCATTACTCATAGAAAAGGAGCCTGGGCATGAAGCATAGTTTTTGAAGTCAATTTGCTGGGGCAAGACGGGAGGTCTCCTTAAAGGGGGAAGTCCAAAAGCAAACCTAACAAACAACAACACTAATGCACAACAACAACAACAACAAAAACAGAAAAAATACAATCTACAACTGTATTTAAGAAGGAAAAATGGAGAACTAACTTTTAGCTGTGAATGCAGATGAACAGGGTTTCCAACTCCGGCCATGTGTTTGTCAGAGGAAACTGGAGTGAGGTCAACCTGGAAGACCTCCTATAGCCTCATTTGCATAGCCTCAATCCAATCCACATGAGGATTATACATGTGCAGGTCAATGGACACTGCTACAAAATTGTTCTGGCTCCTACATATGGTATGTGTAACCAAACTGGAATCCATATAGAGACCATCATCTAAAGAAGAAACAAAGTTTCTCATAGATTTTCAGGTGGGTCTGCAAATGAAGATTCACACGGTCATCTTCTAATATGTGACTTTCCTCTTTTTATAAAATTTCAAGTCCGATAATGAAAACAATGCCATGAGATCCTGATTATTAGTCTCACAGCATGAATAAACACAGCTGAAACCATAAACAAAGAATTTGCAAGCAACCTACAGTTGTTCACAAAAAAGTTTCTGCAAACTCTATTAATTGTAGAAGCAAGCATGTGTGAAAATAGCTTAAAAGTGTTGGACTACAGGTTGGACCTCCCTGGTCGGGCATCATCAGAACCTGACCAGTCCGGAAAAGAGAATTTGACAGATCAGGGGAAGTCTTCCACCAGTCCCCACACCCATACTACCAGCAGGCTGCCCCAACAGACTCCCTGCCTTGCCCTCCCTGCCCCAAAATGGTTGGACTGCTTGCCCAGCTTCTGCCAGCACCCTGAGCAGCATGGGCTCTGCCACTCCTAGGGGCTGCCACAGAGCTCCAGTCCTAGCCCCCTGCTTCAGGAGGCTGCTGCGGGGGCTCTGGCCTCACATTTCTGGAGGCTGTTAGGGGACTCTGGCCTTGCGCTTCCGCAGAGCTGCCAGTGGACTCCAGCCACGGCTCCAGGGTGCTGTGGGCTGCCGTGGGGCTGCAGTCCCAGCTCCATGCTCCCAGGAACTCTGGCCTCGTGCTCCTGAGGATTGTCAGGAGACTCTGGCCTCATGCTTCTGCAGGGCTACCAGGGGATTTCAGCCCAGCTCCATGCTACTGCAGTCTCCGCGGGCTCCAGCCCCATTCCTGCACTGCCTGCAGCTGAATGCCAATCCTGTTTTCCCCAGCCCCTGCTGTCCCTCCTGCCCTTAGGCTCCTGGGCTCTCTGATCCAGGAGCAGGGTCAACACCAGCACCAGAGAGTGCCGATTTTAAGAAGTGTCGGGGACTCGAACCCGGACGGCCTCTGTTCGTTGTCTGACCGCAAAGAGACAGGCAACACCAGCAAGATCCAATCACAAGCTCTTTATTGAATGGTGCACACAACAATAGAGAGCGGCCCGTCTCCAAAGAGAACCAGCCCTGATTTCATTTACAGGTAGGCTTATATAGACAGTTCCGTCGCGTCATAGACTATTCGCCCAAGCAACCCACCCTCCTTTATCGGTTAGAAACTTTTAGTATCCATGCATATCTGGCCAACTATACATCATGGCCTTAAGCAATTCATAATGCATCAGCAATTTCTTTGGGCAGCAAGGAGACAGTTTGTTATGGCCAAAGGAGAACATAAACAGGGAGTTTGGAACAAACAGGGGGAGAGCAGAAACAGGGAGTCTCCTTATCAGTTCTCAAAACAAACTGTTCCTCATCACAGCAGGTACAAAAATGCAGCTTCTTACTTATCTCATTTTGCAACTTGAGCAAGCGTGTAGGGTGCATCCCTGCTTGAACTTATCTCCAGTTCTGTCCAGGGACTACCCAGAAACCTTTGTTACATTTGCTTTAGCATAACTGCACTAGGCCTATTTTTTCTAGGGCCTAACAGTAGTACAACACTTATTCATGGGATTGGTCAAGTGGCTGAGGGCCTCATTTCTGTCATCAAGAGCATGTAACAAACATTTCATATTATGAATTTTAAATGATATAAATATGAAAATGATTTCTTCAGCACTGCTTATGATGACAGAATACTGTAAACTGTTTCACTTGAATAATTTCTGTATGTTACAGATGAGTAACCTCTACTGAAACCAATGTTTGTAATATTTTTATCTGACTAGCTGAATGACTGGGGTGGCAGAAATGTAGTCTCTAGATATAATTTTACCTGACATTTGTGCTTTGTTTTAACATCACCCTTGTGGAGACCAGCTCTCGGTCTGCCAGGCAGATATTTTTAAAATTAAACTGAAGTGACTGACTTCCTCACAGATGGCTGCAGGCTGCATTTTCACCCTAATACTTCAGGAGTGAGAAGCAGAGCACTTACAGAACAAGGTGGGGGATTGATTACAATGGAAAATCAGTTGCCAGGCCTTCATTTTCACATGGACCTTTTTTAATAGTGGAAACGGCTTATGTGAGATTCAAGATTTAACACTTCTATAGTCTATCTAACACAAATCCCCAGAGTGGATGAAACTTTTAAATCTTTTTAACATCTACTAGTAAGGCCACTCTGTTCTTCCACTGTATTTTGTAACAGGAGCTGAACTGCTGCTTGCTATCAGCGAGCTAAAAGGAGGGGTGGGTGTGCCCACTACAATTGTTTAGCTTTGCAAGGTAATTAACTGTTAACTGTTGATATCTAAATACAGCTCAGGAGAGAATACGAGGTGTGGCTATGTAAATCCCATTCAGTCAGGGCTGATGGAGGATCAGTGTTGGAATGGAATGTGAAGAATTGTAAATAATTTGGGACTGTTGTGGGGGTCACTAATGGGAATTGTAAAACATGCCACCAGTGCTTGCAGGAAAGACACCACCATCATGATAAGAGGTCTGGGAGGAACAACCCTCCCAGCTTTCAGAGTTGAGTGAACTGAGCTGGGAGGAAGTGTTAAAGGGCTTGAGTCAGCTTGCTTCATACCTGTCAGGTGTGAGCTGTAAGACTGGCCCAACCTGCCCCTTTCCCCCCTTTGTTTTAAGGACAAACCTAAAGCAGACTCCCTGGGGAGTCTTTTCTTTTGCTAGTCTAGTGGAAGCTGGATTCATTTGCCAGTCCAGCCGATGGCTAAAGAGTTGAAATCACTGAGAGCTGAAATCAGTGGTTTGGCTAAGAGCCAGACCAATTACAGCCAGTGAAGTGGCGGCGACCAGCAGAGTAGCTGGTGGCGTAATGTGGCCGGTAGGAGCAGCGGCAGGTGAGGAGTGGTGAGGAGCAGCGACCAGCAGTGTGGCATGGAGCGGCGGCAGGCGAGGAGCAGCATGGCATGGAGCGGTGGCAGGCGAGGAGTGGCAACCAGCGACGGCAGCAGGCGAGGAGCTGAGGCAGGCGACCAGCGAAACGTCCTGTCACGTAGGACGAGACAGCTGGTGGAGTGTGGCGGAGTGTCGTAAGTTTCTTCCTATTTATTCCCCCAGCCCCATTTCTACCCAGGTTGGGAGGTGAAACTTTGGGTGAACTTTGGGACTCTGGGAGGCATGGACCAGGGACAGAGACTTTTTGGGTGTCGGACTCTTTGGACTTCAGGTGATTCTTGGCTAGCGGGTTGGGGCTTAGCTCATGTTTGGGTTATGAACTCCGTTTGTAGTATTTTCCCAAGTTAATGCCATATGACTTCTCTCTCTGTTTCATTAAATGTTTCTTTCCTACACTAAGACTCAGTGCTTGCAAGTGGGGAAGCATTGCCTCTCAGAGGCACCCAGGGGTGTGTGAATTTCCCAGATTACTGGGTGGGAGCTCAAGCCAGTTCTGAGTTAGATGGATCCCAAGATATTGAACCCAACCCTGGTTACTTCCAGGCCTACCCGGCAGAAGGGTTACATGTTTGTGAGGTGGAAACCAAATAGCTATCAGTTCAACTAGTAATAGCTAATGAACAAAACTTCCATTATTTGTATGATTTAAATGAAGGAAGGTAGGAGATAGATTGGTTGAATGTCAATTCATTTATGATCAGATACATAGTCTAGATTTCTTCCTCTTTCACTCGTATAACTTTATGATGAGTTTAGAATTTCGATGAATTTATGATCCTCCTTTATGATGAGTTTAGAATTAACCCCAAACCTAAAGAACTCCTAAGGCAATGTTTTTATTGGAGCACATCTTCAGGCAAAACCATGAAAGTCAATGGGTCAGATTTTCAGTTGATGAAAGTTGTCATGGCTTCATTGATGTCAACGGAGCTATGCCAATATACACTAGGGCTGTGTCTACATTGGCACCCCTTTCCGGAAAAGGGATGCTAATGAGACCACTCAGAATTGCAAATGCCGCGGGGGATTTAAATATCCCCCACGGCATTTGCATGAACATGGCTGCCGCTTTTTTCCGGCTCGGGGTTTTGCCAGAGAAAAGCACTAGTCTAGACGGGATCTTGCGGAAAATAAGCCATTTTCTGGAAGATCCCTTATTCCTACTTTCAATCTCTTTCAAGTAGGAATAAGGGATCTTCCAGAAAATGGCTTATTTTCCGCAAGATCCCGTCTAGACTAGTGCTTTTCTCTGGCAAAACCCCGAGCCGGAAAAAAGCGGCAGCCATGTTCATGCAAATGCCGTGGGGGATATTTAAATCCCCCGCGGCATTTGCAATTCTGAGTGGTCTCATTAGCATCCCTTTTCCGGAAAGGGGTGCCAATGTAGACACAGCCCTAGTGTATATTGGCATAGCTCCGTTGACATCAATGAAGCCATGACAACTTTCATCAACTGAAAATCTGACCCATTGACTTTCATGGTTTTGCTTCAGAGCTTGATTCTATAGTCAGTAGTTCACAGGTATAATCCACAGCGGTTCCATTTAGGGGATATTAATTGTCAGATCAGTGCTTAAATACACATTGTTCTGAAATACCATAACTGCTTACTTGGTTTTTGAAGACCCCAAACAGTATGTACACCCGCCACCATTTTCTCTTCACATCAAAGCAACCCTGAAAAGACACAGTAGGTAAAGATGTACAAGGTCAAAATAACTGGTTTAATGGATAAATGAGGTGTCCAGTTCTGTATAAGCAGCAGTACAATTTGTTTCTTTGCAACACTTCCTCCAGCAATATATCAAACTGTTATAGATTAGGTCGTCTTTATGCTATGGAGTATCAAATATTTAAAAAAACACTTTTCTTCGTAAATCATCAGTGTTCAGGTCATATTTACTTAGGTCCCAATATACCTTAAGTTGTGTTGGCTATTATGGGTTACCTTATTCTTTGATTGCTACTAAGGAAGAGTGATGGAGAAAAGTTGAAGTATGGCTTTATCTTACCTAAGATTTGTTCATTTAAGGAAGGTAAAACAGGAAATCATTTTGAACTTCAGTTTTCAACTTGGAGGTATAAATATTAGCAGTTTATATTTTTAGACACACAAGGTGCATGAGTTAATATTCATTGTACTTAGTTCTGTTAATGAGAGAGGCTAGCTTTTGAGATTAGACAGAGCTCTTGTTTAGGTCTGGAAAACTGTACAATATCCTCAGACTAGCATAATTACAATGCTGTATATAGTTTTAAATAACATTTTAGCTATCTCTGAACATCCTTGCTTTATTCAGAATTACAACCATCTGTGCCTGAGCGCTCCAAAAAAGGTGTCTTGAAGTATTGTTGTCCTGAATAATAGCAGGAAGTATTGGAAATCTCATTAGATTATACAATTCCCAGAATAATTCCCAGATCAAGGAGATTAGGATAAATTCAAAGAAGTCTCTCTTCCAGCTGGAAATGTGGATAAACTTTTGGATCTGGATTCTCCATTGTCATATACGATGTTCACTTGTAGCTATATATCTTTTCAAAGCATGCAAAATGCTGTCAGATCATGAACATTTACATCTCAGCAGTGTTTTCCTCCTACTTCATCAAGGCAGCAGGAAATGAGGCCTCTGGAGTTTTGATGAAACTATAAGAAAGAAAATCAATTTAGACAATTAGAAAATGAGGAAGATCTTATTTAAAGGACTATTTATAATGAGCAGAGAAGAGATTACTAGGGAAATGTGAACATATACAAATTAGATGTCCTGAATTATATGTCCCTGGGATATTTCAGAGGACCGAGAAAATATATACATCACTTTTTTTGTTTTGAATTATTGGAAAATTGGAGAGGTGCTGATAAGGGACAAAAAAAAAAAAAGCATGACAAGATAGAGCGATCAGAAAAATTACAAAAATTAGTGCTCAGATATAGGGCTCAAAGGTCACAATGCTCGAAAGGAACTCTGGGAAGGAATTCTACCTTAAGGAAGTATAATACTCTGCAAGCACCAGGGTGCAAGAGAGAATTTTCACTGCTCCACGCCTTAAGGAGTAGAAGTACATTTCCCTTCAACTCCTGCCCCTAGTACAGTGCTGCAGGTTGATATGTAGTGGAAGAGAGCCTATGTCTGTCTCCTCCTATCTGCTTCAGATTGTTTTGCTGCTTGAAGTACTAAAAGAGAGGAATCCATGTTCTAGGAGATCTACAAATGGCATCTATGACTGCCTGCCTGCTGAAATGGTGTTTTAGAGAGAGAAGAATTATCAGCCACATGCAGAACACTGAAGCTATCAGATACATTCTAGCTTCTAGAAAATAATGGAGCCATGTTCAACTGTGATAAAATGGAGACACTGCCGGCAAGCACTGCAGGTGTGAAAGAAAGTCTTAAAATAAATAATTACAAAATTAGTGGATAGATACAACATGTTTGAATTGCAAGACAGCATTGTTTTTCAATGTCTCACATAATGTTTCTCAGAATTAATTCTGGCTGGGTTGTATAAATATGCCATAATATGGAATAAAAACAGATTGAATGATCATAGAAATGTGTCTAAGTGGGGATCAGCAGGTAGTAGGTTACTGCATGATCCATGCTCACCTCCTGCAATGACAACTTTATTAATAATAGAGGAGAGAAAATTAAAATATGCAGATTGAACTGAAATGAGAAGAGTTTCATATAGCTGTGGGAACAGATGTCCGGACTACAGAGTTTTGTTGGAAAAATGGCCATTTTTCCAACAAAACTTGAGTTATGTCCACACTGCAAGTGTATTTTTTTGACAGTAAATCAAAAGAACAGAGGGCTTTTTGCGCAATTGATAATCCTCATTCTCTGAGGAAGAAACCTTTTTGCGAAAGTTCTCTTTAGCAAAAAGGCATGTGTGGATGGGGAAGAGGGAGTTTTTTCAGAAGAGGGAAGAGGAAAAAGCACAGGTGTCCTGGTGGCCATTCTGTCCATAACAGTCACAGCTTATATGCGAGATAGCATCCAGGCAGTCTGGACGCTATCTTTTGAAAAAACACATTAATTTTTCGATGCACTTTTGCAATGTGGAAACTCTCTTGTGCAAGAAGTTTTTTCAGAAGATCCCTTCTGAAAAATGCTTCTTGTGCAAGAAGCCTGCAGTGTAGACGTAGCCAGAGAAACATTAAGAAATCAAATACTGACATTAGAACCAGGGGCACAAATGTGAATCATAGCAAAGAAGGACTGAAAAGGACCTCAATAGGCCATCTAGTCAGGTTCTCTGCATATAAGGCAGCTATCATCTTTGAAAATTCATGGAAATCTGGAGAGATACCAGAAGACTGGAAAAGGGCAAATATAGTGCCTATCTATAAAAAGGGAAATAAGAATAAGGCAAAAACAATAGACCAGTCACTTTAACTTCTGTGCCAGGAAAGATAACAGAGCAAATAATTAAGGATTTCATCTGCAAATATCTGGAAGAAATTAAGGTGACAAGCAACAGCCAGCATGGATTTGCAAGGAACAAATCATGTCAAACCAATCTGTTAGCTTTCTTTGATAGAATAACAAGTCTTGTGGACAAAGGGAAGTGGTAGACACGGTATACCTCAACTTTAGTAGAGCACTTGATATGGTTTCATCTGACCTTCTTATCAATAAACTAAGGAAATAAACCCTAGACGGGGGAACTATAAGGTGGGTGCATAACTGGTGGGATAACCAGTTTCAGAGATCAGAGGGGTAGCCATGTTAGTCTGAATCTGCATCTGATGAAGTGGGTCTTTGCCCACGAAAGCTTATGCTCCAACACTTCAGTTAGTCTATAAGATGCCACAGGACTCCTCGCCACTTTTGCAGTTTCAGAGAGTAGCTATTAATGGTTCACAGACATTCTGGCATAACAAGCGGGGTTCCACAGGGGTCTGTTTTGGACCAGTTCTCATCTTCATCCAACTACTTTAGATACTGCCATAGAGAGTACATTTACAAAGTTTGCAGATCCTACCAAGCTGGGAGGAGATACAATTGAACAAACAGGAAACATTTCTTAATAGGAAGATCTATTATCCTGGGAAATAATCTTATGAGGGAAGTGATAAAAACTATAATTCTGGGAAAATTTAAATGAAATTGGATAAAAAAATTCTAACATTCTCAGCCTCCAAAACAGCTTCACAGAAGTGGATTATAAAGCTTGCCAGGTACATGACCCATGGTTAGATGAGGATCTGAATTACACAGATGTTCTGTTAAAATCACTAAGTTACACCAGTGTAAAAAATTAGATCAGAATTGGTTCCCATGAGCTTATGATTTGAACCAAAGTGAACTTCTAAACATTTTCTAAGTTATTCTCAAAACAAGCATGCAAGAATGATACATGTACAAAAGAGAATATACACATTTACCAGATTGCAACTTTAAAAACGGTGTTACGTGAAGCATTTTGCCTAAAGCATCTTCAAGTTATGCATATTCATATTCATAAGGCAATTTTCATAAAGTATGAGGGGTCCCATGACAACCACTAGTACTTTTCATTCATAGACATGAAAGTGCTTTACAAAGCAAGGTAAATAGTCTTGCTTGCCTCATTTTACAGATGTGTCCAAGTTCACACTGTGGTCAAATATCAAAATCAGGAATAGCAAGCATTAGGTCTCCTTCACTTGGTGTAAATTGTCACAGTTCTACTGAAGTGAGTGGTGATAATTTATACCAGCTATGGATCTGCCTCCATTTCTCCCAGTCCTGTCACCATATCCACTAGACCACACTGCCTCTGAAGCATTGTAATCCCTCAGGCTCTATGACCATGGGAAAGCTCACATTATTGCTGCCTGTGCAATATTTGTTCTACGGATAGAGAACCTTAGTCTCCAGAGCTGTCAATTCAATACCCTAAACAAGCAATGGAATTCCCATCAACCCTCTTTATGTTTCTTAACTTCAAAGGACACATTTTTACTTTATTTCATCCTGCCTTTTTCTATATACCTACTGTGACAAAAATATTTATAGCAGCTACCTGGGCCAGTGGTGCTGATGTGAATGTCTGTCTCTGGTGGCTGTGGAACCAGTTTACCATCTTCAGAAATAAATTGTGGAGCTGCACAACAGCCTGGATAACACGGATACTCACTCTAATTGGCACCGTTAGACATTCAAAGTATATTTCTCTTTTGCAAATATCCTATTTTTCCACTGTAATGAATGGTAAAACCTTTGTTATTTAAGAAGGCAGATGTTAGTTTGTCATGAAAAATAGTCAGCAAGTTGTCTGACACTTGACTGCTGCCTGGCATGATAGAGACAATGCTGGTTTTCTTGCTCAAGGCAATTAGAGTATGAGGCTGATCTCTCCTCATTATTTCACCTTCTGCAACATGAAAACATATCTGGAGACCTTTAATTTTCAGCCCCCGGCTCTTTGATAAGACACAGGAAGGTTTACAAAAGTCATTTTTAAAATAAAGTATTGAATTCCTGTTTAGCATGACAGGTCAAAAATCATTTAAAGGGAAACACTAATAGTGTCTGTTGTAATGCCCAGTGCTTCAACTGGAATGAAAGAGGTACAGGAGTCGAGCTCTTAGGTATGTGATTCAAACAAATTTATTACTTTCATAACTGATATGGCAAGCCCAGAGGTGCCAATATAACCAACACACCTAGTGGGTGTGGTTCACAGTCCCATGTAGTGGCACTTAGACCACATACAGCAAGAGATAAGAACAAGTGAGCTCTACAGCCTAAGCTGAGAGCCAGCTGGCTTTATAGCTCAAGTTGAGGAGGCTCTTATTCTGGTTCCAGGTTCAAATCCACCCAGTTGTGGTTACACCAAGCCTAAAGATGATGGTGCTCACCTAGGCAAGCCTCAGCACAAGTTAAGCCCTGCCCATGATGTTCTCCTATAATTTCTGAGAGCTACTCCATTGCGTAAATGTTGTTTGTAAATTTGCGTGAAATTAATAATAGATGTGGACAAAGATATGGAAAAGGGTAGACAAAATTCTCTCTCCCAGCTAATCACCCCATAAAGCATAATATTAGATTACTCGGCACTGAAATACACTTTGGTACACACACCCCAGAGAATGATCTGGATTCAGCATACGGAACAGAAATTGTTACTGTATAAGATTTACAAAGAAGCAAATGTAGATATCTACAAATTAGAAATATCAGCCTCTTCTTCCTTTTTACAATCAGACCTTTCAGATTATCATTATTCACAGCAAATCCTAAAATGAATTGAGCTACTGAAGAAGAATTACTCTCTGACAGCACCTCATCAACAGCAACTTGCTGACAGTTTTCTGGATATTCATCCACAGGGAATGAATTACCTTACCCTTGATGTGACTGGCATTCTGCCATATGCTCTCCAAATGGGATTGAAAAACAAGACGAATAAGTACACTGATTTCCAGTCTTAATAATATAGATGGCACTCTGTTCTGACCTGGTTATTCCCAACGGCTAGTAGTCAGGCCAAGCACAAAAGAAGTGCAAGCTGCCAGTTATGAGAGAAGACATGACTCAGTGAGGCAAATAGATGTGAGCCAGATGGTTCAAGGGATTGGCAAATGGGGTCTTTCAGATTTGAAATGAATCAATAGCCACCATATGTGATTACTACATGATGGTAGTTCTCAGACACATGAGAATACCACTGGTAGGTTCAAACTACTACTCCTTATTGGACAAGTATCCCTTTGCAACATCAAAAAACCAGTGACAGAATTAGCACTAACTGGTTCTCTTGCAGGCAGTCTTAACAGTGAAGTGAAAGATGAGGTGATTCTGGAAAGCCACCCGATGACTCCCAACTAGTCAAGCATGGTTCATCAAGGTCAATTTAGAGGTAAGCTAGCAGGAGGATGTATGGATGTTAACTTCTATCCCTGCTGTGAGTAAACAGAAAACTTCAATTTCCAGCACTAACAGCATGTTAGTGACATTTAACACTGCCAAAAGTGTGGGGGGAGGGAGAATGGGAAGTTTGATTATTGACAAACTATATATACTCTTTTTTTGTATCAAGGAATAAGACAGCTACATAAAATCTTCTTGCAGGAGGAAGTTCAGGAATTCCTTAAGCATTCCCCGTAAGTTTTCCATTTTTTAATACAAACAGCCCATGGCCTATAATAGTAGTGCTGGCTTATAGCGTATGAATCAATCTCTGCCATCAATGTTAAAAAATGACTTCTATTAGACTGAAAAACAACAAGAACAACTCTCCAGGAGAATTAATCTGTCAGGTGCTCATATTTCCAATGGTTTGCAAAAGACCAGACTAAAACTGACCCAGAAACAAGAAAAGTTTGTTGTCTCCTTCCTGGTGACATTTGTAACTTATATAAAAAATGCCATCTTGATAATTCCACGGGAGAGTTACTATTCATGTTAGTGACCATTGAATGGAGTGTTTATCAACTCTACTTCCAGACCAAAGGATCTGCTGTATCTGAAGGCTGGGAGAAAGAACCTGTGACCAATTTATGTCACATACACCAACACCCAAAAGGACAAACAAAACAAACCCACAATTGTGCATACAATGTCACTTTCCTGCTGTATTATTCCCTGACTGTGAGTATAACAGAGAATCTGGTGATGTTTTATCATGTATTTCTCAATGGTACAGTAGCAAGAATACTAGAAATACAACCTTGTTTTTTTATTATTCAGGCTATGTCTACACTACACTGCTCTTCCAGAAAAAGCTATGCAAATTGCAAACTGCAATTTGCATAGCTTTTTCCACTTCTTTTTTCGGTAGAGACTTTTTCAACACTTGGCCTGTCTACACTTGGCCAAATGTCAGAAAAAAAACCTTTTTCAGAAGATACCTGAAAAAGAATGTCTGCTCTTCTGAAAAATGTTTTGGAAAACAGACATGTTCCCTGGATGTGGCAGAGTTTTTCCGGGATATCAGAGGTATTCTGGAAAAATTCTGTACTGTAGACATAGCCTCAATCTTAAATATTATTTCTGTTATTCCAGAACGTGAAATCATATTTTTCACCTTGCAACAAAATTTAGAAACAAGTCTCCATTATATGAATGCTCATTTGTTCTCTTCAATTGTTACTAAATAATAAATTGATTGCCATAGTTATTCTTTAGGACCACTACAGACAATTGAAATTTCTTTCATCTATCCACAATTAAGTTTGGACTATGCATGTAGGTTGCTATGTTAATTTACTAATCCCACTCTGAAACCTGAATAGTTTAATTTAAGGTCCCCTTTCTGTTTTAATTGTTAGCTAGATCATGACATTTGGTGACATTATTAATCTAGAATTAATGGACAAAAACATTTTTGAGAAATTATATTATCATTTCTGGAAAGCATTCTGTTAGCTGAACATATAACTAGTACATGGCTGAAGATATTTTATTTCTAAAGTGAACTGAATGTACTTCACCAGAAGATGCCAGTCTTGATCCATAAAAATTAAGATTCTAGTAACCATATTTCAGCAAATTCTATTATAAGGATTTAAGTGAAAACTAAAAGCATAGAGTTCTTGTGTCAAGAAAAAAAGGCAATTAATGAACTCTGAAGGCAGAACACAAAAACTCGAGAACAAGCATAGGACCATAACAAAAACTGGAAATAAGATTAATCACTCCTTGCTGATTTTCCTATTGATGTAATAGAATTGTTCGGCTAAAGGAAGAGGCAGGAAATGGTGGTATATAGGTGACACTTACTGAAGTTATTTTTCTTCTTATCTTGTCTTCACTTCTGCTTCCCCCTCACCCCCCACCCCTGCTTTTTTAATGGATGTGGAATAAAAGCATATGGCACTCTACAAGCTAAGGAAATACACTTGTGTACTGAATCAAAATAGCGTTGAGTTCTCGAACCAGTCACTATACAGCTGTATTCAACTGTCCATTGTGATACCTGTGTAAAATGACTTTTCTTCCTCATAGTAAGGTATAGAGCATACCTTATTTTTGTGTCAAGCTGAAGGATACCCTCAGCACTATGTGTTCTGTAACAATCTCGATGGGCCTGTCTAGTTGAAAACCCATTTTCAACTACATAGGCCCAATAATGTATGCTTATGAGTGCCTGTTTTCTAGCCAAAACATAATAGTGATTTTGTCAGAATGATTTGAAGACAACAACACCAACAACCTTTTTTTCTCAAAATGTGGTCCCTTTGCATAATACCTTGGCTATAAATATTGTACATGCAAAACATTGGGGTACAGGCTTGGGGCAATCATATGCTCTATGCCACTGGCCCTTCTGGTCTTTCATTCTGCTCACCATGCTGTTTGTGAGTGAGAGACCTCCTCATGGACCTCTCTTCTTTTCATAGTATTTATCATTCTGTGGAGCACCAGGAAGGTCTCCATTATAGTTTGAGAACTATTGAGCTTCAATATGCATACAAGTGTGTAAGGTACTAGTGCTAACCACCAGGTACTCAGGTATCCTGCTGATAAGTGTAGCATATCTAGTTACCTGGAATTGTTTGTTTGGGACACTCTCATGGAGGGTGTCATTGAATGTGAGTAGGAGTGTAATAAAATGCTGAGAGTTGCAGGCAGCAGTATTAGCTTCATGATGATATTATTCTAGTACCTAGATTATCCCAGCTATCACAAGTAATTTAACTAATTTTAAAACATTTTAATATTCCTTAAGGAACAGGAGGACAAATTTTCACTAGGAAATGAAGAGATGATTGGAAGTACAGTCCATACATCCTATTTTCTCAGAAACACCTGGTATGCTAGAAGAAAACGAATCTAATGAACTGTACTGTAGCACTTTTGTGCAACTTGAAAGGCTGTGAAAATAGGAGTTGATAAAAAAGGAACGTCTTTATTATTTGGGCAGAGGAAAGTTAATCCAAAGACAGTGGCTATATTGATGCTGAAAGCAAACCATTATCTCTAAAGATTCTGTGAAACCTTTGCCTAGGCACTTTGTGTAATCAAATAACTAACTCCCGCCCCAGATGAATGAGCATGAAGCACTGCGTAACCTGGATCAGATCAAGTGAGAATTTTAACGGACACATTCAAAGAGCTGCTGGTGGCACTTTGCTCTGGGAGTCAGTGCTGAACTAATGGCCTCATCCAGGTATTCAGGGATGCTGCACTGCTGGTGGTCTATTTTTCAAATGAGATATAGAACCAAATTCCTGATCACTTGAGGGTTTGAAAGGTCCTAAGGCAATTTTTGTAAGAACGGGGATGGCAATCCAAATCCCTAAACAAATTCCATCTAGGCTTCGGTGGGTTTTTTTGGCTCCATAGTTTCCCTCTGGAGATTCAACTATACACAGTATCCTTTAAGGCTTAATCAAAGTTTGTAAAGAACCTTCTAATTCAAAGCAAGTAGGAGCTCTACAAGGCAAACAGTTATATATCAACTTCAGTGGGACAATGCAGGAAGTAAGGTACTGGTAAGTATGAAAATGAGTGGCAGACCAAGCCCTTTATCCTACACCACTGAAAGGCTGAAATTCTGGTACTTGAAAGTAATTGTGTTTCTCCGGGTTTATCCTGGTTGAACTGAGAGTAGTACTTCCGTTAAATTTTGAGTCATCTTTGGGTGTAAGCCCATTTAGCTAAAGCACCATCAGGGTTTACATGGTCTTAAGAGTGGGTAATGCCAGACCTTCTCCTTCTGCATGGAACTGAAGAGCTGCCATTGTATTTTCCTGGCCTGAAGTGGAATAAGTTGAGCAGAATCCAGGCACGTTCCCTGTTTCAAGAGGAACCCACAGCCGCATTTTGAAGAGGTAACAAATACCTTTACCATCCTTCTTTCGTCAACTTTTTTGCTAAGCTCATGTAAACCATGTGATCTCATCTGTTCACATCTCTGTGTTGGGACCAGAACTGGGGCACAAGCCTTTGCATCCTGCAGCACTGATTTAAATATGTGGAGCACAGGTTTACTGTTTTCTTTCTTTTTTATGCAGGTTCACAAACTGAGTCAGAATATGACCTGCCAGTTTATATATGCACAAATGTAAATGTGAACAACACTAACACAAGACAGAAAGTGAAGATGAATACCGCAACCTACAAGAACTTAAATAATCTGTTTTTAAGGTGCTTACAGGCTCAGTAAAAGTTTTTACTCTTTTCCTTCACTCTTAATTGCCCCAAACTCCATTTCACTGCAACAAGCAAGCAGATGGCTCTGCACTCTTCTTCTCATATTTATCATGTTCAATATTTTCATGTTTATATGCCTTACTGAAACATTTTTGCCTGTCTTAATTATTGCTATCATTTGTTTCCCTTTAAAACTCTACAGCTTACTATATGTTTACACGTTAGCTTTGTTTTCAACTATCATCCTGAAGTCAATAGTTCTTTATACATCTAGTTTTGTATTTGTTATTTTGGTGTCTCTGTGGCCTCATATGTCACATTCTCTAATGTGATAAGGCCATTTTACACCACATTTCCTTGTAAACTGAATCTATAGCTTGTGTAACTGACCAGTGAATATTATCCATAGGCAAAGCTGATAAACAGGGGGCATAGCTCTTGCTTAGAGGCTTTGTGCCAGTGATAAGGATTCATGATTGCAGGATAGTGAGTGTGTGCTAGTATACCCTTCACTCTGATACTCACCATTTTTGGCCATTTATGACCATATGCAAGAGACATAACATAAAGCATTCGTCCTAGTGATTTAATCTGCTGCAGAGAAATCAGCCTTGCACAGGATTAGGGGAGTTTGAAAGATGAGATCTAAACCAATTTTTCACATCATCCTGGCCAGATAGATATTTACAATTTTTGAGAAAAGTGACATCGTTCTCAACTACCAGACTACGTTTGTCGATGAAGCAATGCAGCACTTAATGGACAATTGCAAAGTGATGCTGCCCTTGGGTGAAGTGAGAGATGAAAAGCTAATAACACTCACCATCTGCTCAATGTTCTGGCTGGACTTCTGGAAACTACTCTTTTAGCCTAAGAGTCCATAAAACTCGAATCCCATCATTTGGTGTTAATTGAATGTCAGAGGGTGTGTCTAGACTACAGGGTTTTTTCGAAAAAAGTGGCCTTTTTTTTGAAAAAACTTCCCCTGCATCTAGACTGCTGCCGTGTTCTTTTGAAATTAAATCGAAAGAATGTGGTGGGCTTTTCGTCTGTGGTAAACCTCATTTTATTAGGAAGAACGCCTTTTTTCGAAAGTCCTCCTTTGAAAAAAGGCGTTCTTGAATGCAAACAGAGCTTTTTCGAAAGAGAGCATCTAGACTGCCTGGGTGCTCTCTTTCGAAAAAGCGGCTTGCTTTTTCAAAACAAGTAGTTGCAGTCTACATGCTCTCTTTCGAAAAAGCCTCTTTTGAAAGAGGCTTGTAGTCTAGATGTAGCCAGAGAAACAATACTCCACCAGTTGAAATTGATAGTAGTATAGACATGCCTGCACAAAATTAAATGCTAGGTCGTCACATAGCAACTTCCACTACTAGCAATTCACATATCTTTGCTAGAGCTCTGTGCAAGTCAGTCATATCATAGGATACACCCCCACATTTTACTAAAATAAAGATAATAGTGGCTGGAGATTGTATCTGTATTTCAACTCCCAGATTTTATGGACTGCTAACTGCTCCCAAAATCTCTCTCATAGCATTGATGTCATTGGACCTGATTCTTTCAACTTCACATCCCTCAGGTTCCTTCAGACACAAAATGTTTATGGATTCAGGCTGCTAACTGTGTGCCTGATACAAAAGAGAAGAAGAAAAGCTGATCATTGCTCATCTGTATACTGTGTGGGTGGGGTGGGGAAACTGCAGAGACAAAAACCTGAGGGGGAATAAGAAACTCAGCTCTTCTTACACATCTGAACTCTAAACACAGAATGCTGAGCATGACTGCGCATTATCCTACTGACTAACATATATATCACTGTCGGTTCATGGCTATTGCACAGCAAACAATAGGGCTTCACACAAGAAAAATAAAATGACAGATTCTGCTATTGCTACAGCCTTAAGCCTGACTAGTTGTTAATGGTGGTAATCAGTGCAAAGGATAACATTCTTCTCTTCTGTTGGGGCACATTTTAACCTGGCAGAGAAGTCAACATTTAGGTTCTCATAAACCTTAGATCCTATTCTGTAGAGTTCCATACAAATACCAATTTACAAGGTGGAAGCCTGCATGGTTTTCTTGTTGCAGACTCTCTAATACAAGATGATCTGCTTTCTTGTCCCAATAATAAACAGGTGTTCACTGTTTCTCTGGATTGCATTCATTTTGGGACATTAGAAAAGGAAAATACCTTAGATTAGGTTTGGGGATATAGCTAGAGGGCAGATAAATATTTGACTTAGTAGTTATAGAATTGCTATGGACACTAGGAGATACCCTGTAACTATCTACTAGCAGAACTGACTATCATGCTCTGAAACTGGAAGGGACCCTGCAATGCCTACCCATAAATCACACTGCATTACACTGAGTGGATTACACTATGGTGGGGCCCCTAGGCTAGAGCAAGTGGGGGCACTGCTTTAATCCTTCTGTCTGCGCCTCCTCTTGCTCTCACAGCAATCCAGACGGAGAAACAGGGTTGAGGACCACAAGCTTCCCTTGCTACCTAGCAAGAGAGCGAGGGGGGCAGAGTTGATTGAACTCCGTGCCCCAAAAGTACTCCTCAGCAGGCGCACAAGGCAGTTGGAGAAGTGGGCTCTGGGTGTGGGCAACCCATTTTTCTAGGGCCCCCAATTGGCTAGAGCCTCTGGCCATGGGCCTTGTTGTCCCAGTGGCTAATCCATCACTGGCAGTGTACTGCATGGTTTCATTCAGGTGAAATGGCGTGAACACTGCCGGTTTTAGTTACATTGCTATAACTACACTGATATAAATTACCATGTGCATCAACAAAGCCGTAATTATTTTTTGATCTTCCTAATTCTTACTGCTTGTTTGTCTCACACTGACACTGTTTTATGTGTTTGTATCTTAAAATAAATTTGGTGTGGCATCCCAGGTGTGTGATGTGTGGAGCAATAGTGAATGGCTGTGGCTTGCATGGCCTAAATTGCACCTGCTAGCATAGTTGTGCCTCTGACATGAATAAATCAGCAGCAACTAGTTTAGGGCCTTGGGACCTCTCTGCTCTTTTTAAAAATGGTAATTAAATGCCCAGCCATGTAACCGTGCCCACACTTTGTCTACTTTCAGTCCCTAGAGCAGTCAGGGCTCTTGGGTATGACTAAACATTACGGCTACGACTTGACTGGCATGATTTTCCGGAAATGCTTTTAACGGAAAAGTTTTCCGTTAAAGGCACTTTCGGAAAAGAGCGTCTAGATTGACACGGACGCTTTTCTGCAAAAGCACTTTTCGCAGAAAAGCGTCCGTGGCCAATCTAGACGCGCTTTTGCACAAAAAAGCCCTGATCGCCATTTTCACGATTGGGGCTTTTTTGCACAAAACAAATCTCAGCTGTCTACACTGGCCCTTTTGCACAAAAGTTTTGCACAAAAGGGACTTTTGCCCAAACGGGAGCAGCATAGTATTTCTGCAAAAAGCACTGATTTCTTACAGTAGGAAGTCAGTGCTTTTGCGGAAATGCAAGCGGCCAGTGAAGACAGCTGGCAAGTTTTTCCGGAAAAGCGGTTGATTTTCCGGAAAAACTGGCCAGTCTAGACACAGCCTACTTGTGGAAAACCCTGGGCATCTGAAATTGCAATCTGTCTGTCTGACAGTGTTCAAAAGGAAGCTCTAGATAGTAAAGGCTTATGACCATTTCATCCATATTAATGGAAGAGGGGACTCAGTTAATACAGAAATGTTATACCTCTTTTTAAAAGCATATACAATATTTGACACGATTGCTTTAATACTTGCACATTTGTAGACTTGTTTTTTATCTAGCTTTTGTGTTCTATAGTATTTGCTCATTTGTACAAAGATTTAGACAAACTTTAGATTTAAATACTGTGCTATATGGAGATGAGGTAGCAGGATGAAAATTTTCTCTTTAGGATTCTAATATAACAGTCAGGTTTCAACTCTGTATTCCTTGTACATTCATCTTTCCTATCTAAGCCAATCAGAGAGTGGAAAGCATAAGAAATGCAGGACTGGCTTCTAAGTAATGCTTAGCTGCAAAACCAAGCAGTAGAGAGCCCTGAAAATGAAGGTCAATTACAGCACTGCTTTCTCATTCTTTAAATGAGTATGTTTTCTTACTTTTTTTTTCTTGGAAGATTTTATGCACAAAACCTAGGTAATGGGCAAGTGCAGTTTGTATGCGTGGCGTGTTGTGTTGTCTCTAATGTGACTCATTATTCTACTGTACAGAGTAAAGAAATTAAAACTAGGTTGATATTTTTAAAGCTAATGAGCCACTGATTAGTATCTGATTAGCTACAGTTAACAAAGTGTGTTCCTTTCCAATGATTTATGGCATTAAATTAATATAATCCAGAATTCCTTCTCATGCAGAAGGTGAGCCTTTTTGTTATCTTAATAAGGGTTTACAATTGATGTGCATATGGATTCACAATTAAGCTTTACTGATGCCACTGCTAGTTTTTTCCCGCTGATACCATGTAAGACTGATACCATGCAGAGCTTAGATAGAAGTGGATTTCTTGGATCAGAGGGTGAAATCCATTCCCTCACCATAAGACCTAAATAGCTGGGTTGTATATGAGTGGAATGGAGAAGAACTAGAGGGTGAAACCCGTCTCTCAAGCCAACCCCAGTGAGAGGAGTGCTTCCCATGTACCTGCTATTCCAGCAGCTGAAGCCGTCCCCCATTCACACCAGCTTTGAATGGCCATTGGTGGAAAAGGGTCAGCATAAACTCTGATGATCATCAGCTTCTTTCATCCTGGCCTGTACCCGATCCACCCATATCATTGCTGTTGGCCAATGCAGGGCTGTCACAGAGACCTGCAGGCATCTCTGCATTGTTCTTCCATTTGTCTCCTGTCACGCACTGTCCAAAGTGTTGATTATGTAGCTTGGAAAGCCTCCCTTTGGCTTTCCACATTATGGAGTTACCCTCTTACCAAAGGCTACAGTTACTGGATATTTAACCCTAACTTGTCATTACATTATTTATGGGTTACCTCAGTAATTATTCTATATTGAACGCTATAGAGTGAAATTCCATATATATGTTCCGACTACAAGTTAGGAATCATCTGGGAATTTTTTTAAAATGTAAGGGTTTGTGGGAAGGTAGGGATATTCTGAAAGCAGGAGAATAAATTTATAATCACACATTCACATTTTTGGACTCACATTGTAATGCTGATATGAGTTGCGTTTTTCAACTTTCTCAGCTGATTTGCATATGGTATTAATTTGTCAGAATTTTTAAATCCATGTATTGTGAGGAAAATGACACATTATTGGTGAAAAAAAATTATTATTTATTTACTTTTGTACTTCTGTGCCAAACTTCTCTACTGCTTATACTTAAAAATGATTTAAGAAAATACATTCCCTTCAAACCTGCTCAGCCCAAATGGACATGACACAGGAAAATATACTCTTGAGAGCAATATAACATTAAAACATCAGATTCAACAGTGTAGAATTATTCAAAATATGCCTTCTCTAAGAATTTCTAGAGTGGTATGGATAATAAATCATGGTGTTTTTCATATAGCACTTGACAGAGGTTGGGTATAATGGGATGTCCTGTACCAGATATAACACTGAACAATCTGCAGCTTCTGTTGAACACCAAAAGGTGTTTTTCCCTCAAGGATCCCAAGTGCTGCCAACTCTTACAGTTTTATCACTAGCCATTTATGGTATTTTTTCTCAAATCTCCAGCTCCTGAAGCCATTTGAATATGTGAGAATCTGAAGCTTTTCTTAAAAAAAGACATCCATCCTTCATGATTGTGGAAAAGAGATTGAAAATGGGTCTCGTAGTGCACAGAAACTTGAAGATAAGAAGATCCAAACATTTTTCTTTTTAAGATCTCATGATTTCTGAAAGCTTGGAAGTGGCAATACTGTGAGTTATTATTGCCCTCATTCTCACTGAAATCAGTGGCAATCATCACTTTGCTTTATCTAAAAGATGCATTTTCTAGG